TTGATGTACTTTTTTTTTTTCTTTTTTTTTTTTTGATGCTAAGAATTGAACCCAGGGCCTTGTGCATGCAAGGCAAGCACTCTACCACCTGAGCTATATCCCCAGCCCTTGATGTACTATTAAAATGAAGATATTTTACAGAATTAATAGATTTGGGGCTCAGAAAACAATGCCCTGAAGTATGGCACCTTGGCATACTGAGTACTTTGGAAAAAGGCACTGGAAGACTCCAGGAACAGCCTCAGAACCAATGTCTCTCATCATTCCTTTCCTCTTAAAGCAATTTTTAGAACCCAGAATTATTCTTCTGCACAGTGGGTCACAGAAACTGGAACTCCCTTTCCACAAAGCAAGCCATAATCCTAAATCTATTACTCTGACCTTCCCCATCTTTCTGTCTTGGAGCTAGCCATAAAGAAATATCAAATATCCTTTCTCTGATCTACCTTGTCCAATAACCCCTCATTCCTGAGGGGTCCTGGGGGAAGTATAACCAAAGGCCTACAACCAAAGGTCAAGAATAATGTTAATGGACAGGCTTCACTGATTTCCCCTTTAGTGTATTCCTATTATAATGGTCAGACCCTTTTTGTCCAATCGAATTTCTACATGGATGTCTGAGCTTCATCAAACGTAAGCTAAAAATGGATTGTCACCCTGGGTGTTTGGCTCTTCACTCTGAAGGCTCTCATGTCACATAAAATTTTGATTAAATTTGTTATCCTTTTCTTGTTAACCTGTCTTTTGTTAGAAGGGTGCTGGCTGTGACCCTTATGACAGGTGAGGAAAGACATCACTCCTTTCTGCGCCTCTACTATATATGGTCAAAATATACCCACTTAAATCAATATATTTCCAAATTATCTCACCCCTAAATTTCATGGAGTCTAGTAAAATACTATCTAGCTTTTACTAGGTCTTCATATTTTTTGAGGAGAAATACATATGCAGTGCCTAGACAGTCCCAGACCCACAGATTTATTATTATTATTCTTATTATTATTATTATTATTATTATTCAGTATTGCACTCAGGGGCACTCAACCACTGACCCACATCCCCAGCCCTATTTTTGTATTGTATTTAAGTTGAGTTGCTCAGTCCCTCATCATTGCTGAGGCTAGCTTTTAACTCGTGATCCTCCTGTCTCAGTCTCCTCCCAAGCCACTGGGATTATAGGCATGCACCACCACACCCAGCCAGATTCTCAATTATTTTTTGAATGACTAAATAAACAATAGGGCTTGGCTGGCATATTGAGCTTTCTTCTTCTTATGCAATGGCTGGTGCTCAGACTTCTCTTCCCACACATCTAGGGGACACAAATATCTCTATCACTTCACAGTTGAGGTTCACCATAGCACTGATTTTAAAGCCCACCTCCTAAACACACTGGAATCCCAGAAAAGCAAAAGATCAAATTAAATTGGGGAGGGGCAGATATTAACTGCCCCCTAAAGAGTTCAATCTTTCTCCCCATCGTGAATCACTGCTCTCAGCTCCTATAGCAGTGTCAAATTTCTGCCTGGAGCCACTCGGCACTGCCCAGAGCTGGCCTACAGGTCATTCTCATTATACCTCAAGTCTCCCATTACCTAACTTGCTTTCTGGCCATTCTGCCATTTTGTTTACATGCTGTGCCTTTTTCATCTTGCAGACCCACACTGATGTGTCCACTGTAGCTGGTACTGTCACATGATCCACAGTGATGCTTCAGTCAACAATGGGCTGCATATGCAACAGTGATCCCTAAGATGTATCACTTAGTGACATTGTAAGTACACTCTATGATGTTTGTACAATGTTGAAGTTCCCTAGGGACACATTTCTCAGAACATGCCCMAGTTGTTAAATTACATTTGACTATTAAAATTACAGAAGTGGTTGCTTGGACAGAGTTTGGGATCATCTGCAAAAAGATTCAAAAACTTTTCAAGGGGATATAACTTTTATATCTTGAGTGTGATGGTGACCATATCACTGTATAAATAAAGTTTAAAAATTCATTAAACTATACACTAAAATTAGGTAAATTTTATTGCATGTACATTATGCTTCAATAAAACTCAAGAAAAAAAATTACTATGAAAAGATTTTTAAAAGGACAGCCACAGGATATATTCCATTTGTTGCAACATAAGAATGGGACACTATTTACAACCTGGGGTTCATTAAAAAAAAATCTACAAGTTTAATTACTAGTACATCCCATAATTAGGAAAATATGTTGTCAGAATATATTTTTCCTTTTTGAATTAGGAGGTTAATTAAAATATTGAAGAAAGAAAAAAAAATCACCAATAGCACACAATTTGCTAAGATGGGTATGATWACATGGAAAGTGGATCAGCTGCTACGATTCACAACTTTATTACATCTTTAGTGTAAAGAGTGTCACAGCTGCCTGGGGCTGGACAAGATGGGCTGGACAAGATGAGCAGGACCTTGAATGCCCAGATGAAAAATGCTAATTTGATTTTCTGGGATGACAGAGAGGCACTGCAAATTTTTGAACAGAAAAAATGTCAAGATCAAAATAGTGGCCTAAGTGCTATTCAGCTATGAAAGGAAATGAAGTTCTGGTACATGTTATGACACAGATGACCACAGAAAACGTCATGTAAAGAAGCCAGACACAATCCTGTATGATCCCACCTATGTGAGACATCTAGAGTTGGCAGACTCATAGAAACAAAGAGTAGATCAGGGGTCACCAGGGGCAGGATTGGGGTTGGAGTGAGGGGAAAGGGGAGTTAGTATTGAAGAGACAGAGTGTCGTTTAGGGTGATGAAAAGTTTTAAAAGTGGTGATAATGGTTGTACAATGTTATGAATARCATTGAATATTGTAAAATTTGTCATTTCAGGAAATTTTAAGTGGAGAATTCAGTAGCTTAAATTGCATTCATAAATTTGTACAACAAACATATTTATGTATATTTGTATTGTATACATTTATATTTATATATGTTTATGTTGTACAAAGTTATAAATGCATAAATGTATATAAACAATAAAACCAAAATTAAAAAATGATAGGCTGAAATATATTTTCATTATTATTGAAGGCAGGGTAAAATTCTGCCTTCACATCTATATTGAAACCCCTGTCATTAGTAATTAAAACTGGAAAAACAAACAAAATAAATGATGATCTAAATGCAGGATGACAGCTACCCATTACTTCACATGCTAAAAGATGAAGAACTGCTTAACTGAAGGTCATAGTCTTCCAAATATCCAATGGATATTTCATAAATTGAATTTTTTTCTGTTCTTACAGTTYTGGGGATTGAACCCAGGGCCTCGCACATGCTAGGCAAGAGTTCTACCACTGAACTACATCCCCAGCCCCCACATACATTTAATTTTGAAGCACTTACCATCACGTTCGTTTCATTTCCCAAAGCTATCATGATTCTGCTAGGATCTAGTTAAAAAGAAAAAGAAGATAGAAAGAAAACACAAGAAGGCTTATCATATTAAGTTTCCTGCATGAAGTTTGAGAAAAATGAGGGTTTTAAAATCAAAGAGCCAAAGCATTAGCCTCAACAGGGAAACAACCTTTAATTCTCTGGTAACACACCTCAATTGTTTAAAGAAGGTTTCTGCTATTTTATTCCTAATATCATGAAAATCTCGAAGTTAAGAGATATCACTATTCACTTATGCCTATTCATTTCTGCAGGAAGAGGTAATATACTCTGCACACTTAAAGGTCATCTTCCTCCTTTGCATATGCCACATAATGGAGTCTGTATTCTTGAGAGTGGAAGGTGGAACAGGTACCCATTACAAGAAGTGAGATGCTTTATTCACTCTCAAGGGAAAAAGCAGAAGTCAGRAAGAACTCTGGCAACCAATGCCTTTGGTAAGGACAGCTCCTGGTTTATTTTCCTCCAGCAATTCACGTACCTAATTCACTCAACATTTTAAAAATTACTATTGAACATCTATGATGGCAGGCACTGAGAACATGAGAGTGAGCCCGTTCCCCTCGATCCCTGCCCTCACATTCCATCTCACTGTTCAGGCCTCACTACCTACAGAAATGGCACTGACGGATGGTCCCATTATGGTGACACATCTCCGAATCCCTTTATTCCTCTTTTTTGAGGAATTGTGAAAACTACACTTTTTCCAAACAACTTCTTCATCTGTTTTTTCTTATCCAGTATTTCTCACTATCCTGGAATGTGAACAAAAGCTACAAAATAATACTGAAAGTAAAATTAACACCAAAGCAAACTGGTAAAACAAAGGTAACTGGTACTCTTCAGTAAAGGGGGAAAAGGTTCAATTATAAGACTTCAGGGTTTGTGTCTGTGACATTACAATTTATATATTTTGGTTTTTGACCATGGTTCCCGGCTCACAACTCCCATGGCTTATATTATTTCCTAAACAGCTAGAACAATGACTATATCTTCTGTTAAATATTTAGCCTTTTTTTTTTTCTTGCTTCCTCAAGAAGGATGGTAATGTTGGAGTACTTTAGGCCTCTGAAAGCAAAATCTCTCTCTGATCTTTTCCTGGGTTCCTTTTCTCTGCTCCTATTTCTCCCCAAGGCAGGCTTTAGAAACTAGAATTTCTCTTCCCCAAGGTGAGTCATAGAAATTAATACTATACTCTAATTTTCCTTTCTGTCTTAGAGCTGACCATAAAGAAATTCTCTGATCTTTCTTAATTGATAGTTAGATCATAAGACCTTCATTTCAGTGAGGTATGGTGGCATGTGCCTGAAATCCTAGCCACTTGCAAGGCTGAGACAGGAGGATCTCAAGTTCAAGGCCAGCCTCAGCAACTTAGCAAGGCCCTTTCTCAAGATAAAAAGGGTGRGGGATGTAGCCCAGTGGTAAAGTGTCCATGGTTTAAATCCCCAATACCAAATGAAATAAATAAAAAAGCCAGACCCCCATTTCAGAAGGGGTTTTGCCTCACACCCAGGAAGAAGGAATGTGCATAGAGAGGCCAAGAAGAATATGGACAGGCCCAGCTGAGTGCCCCCACTCAGCCAAATGGCATTAGATCATACTTCTTTTATCCAATTGCATTTTGACAAAGTTGCCCAGGTTTCTATCTTATCTATATAATGAAGTCTCTAGAAACCCCCAAAAGGACAGGGTTGGGAGAGCATCTAGAGAGCTGAACATCTGGAGGCTCACAGGTAGGTGGAAAACTCACCCCTATGCCTGGAGGATGCACCCAACTCCATGTATACAGAATCTCCCATGCCTCGAGGTCTTCCAGACACTGCCTGTGTATCTCTTCATCTGGCTCTTTATGTGAATCTTTTAAAATATTCTTTTATAACAAAGTGCTAAACCTAAATATTTCCCCTGAGTTCTGTAAGCCATGGCAGCAAATTAATCAAGCCTAAAGAAGGGGTCATGGGAACCCCAATTTGTAGCCGGTTGATCAGAAGTCCCAGAGGCTCATACTTGGTACCAATGTCTAAAGCAGGGTCAATTTGGGGGACTGAGAAATGACAGGTAGACAACCTGTGGGAAATGACAGGTGGACAGTATCAGAATTGAACTGAATTAGAGGACACTCAGCTGGTGTCTGCTGCAAAATTGTTTGCTTGCAGGTGGGAGGAGAAAGCTCTACACAATTTGGGAATGCAGAAATGATCTAGGTTATGAGTATGTAGTATGAGAAAATGGATTGGATTTTCCTCTATATCCTCATAACATCCTTCCAAAATATTTAAAAGCTAACTTTCAGAAAACAGAACTGTTTTAGGTGCTGGGTATGTGGCTCAGTGTAGACAGAGTACTTTTCTAGCATGCTCAGAGCTCTGGATTCAATCCCAGGTACCACAAAAACAAAAACAGTTTTCAAATGGTTCTTCTGCAGCATGTACAACTATTATAAATCTGGGCACAGTGGCACATGTCTGTAATCCCAGGGACTTGGGAGATTGAGGCAGAAGGATTGCAAGTTCAAAGCCAGCCTCAGCAACTTGGCAAGGTCCTAAGAAACTTAGCTAGCTGGTGTCTTAAAATTAAAAATAAAAAGGGCTGGGGGTGTAGCTTAGGGTTAAGTACCCTAGGGTTCAATCCTTTGTTAAAAAACAACAAAAACCTGATTAAAAAAAAAGGCCCATGGCTGGTAGGAGGGTTGCAGCATATCCCACCAGGGGCACCCTATACTTCTTAACTCTTCTCTCTTACTYTATTCTATTCTCTCTTCATATCTATTATCTCTGTTGGACTTCTTCTGAAGGAAGTCACTGATGATAAATGAAAAGGAATAAAAATTGCTTTGAAAAACTTTGGAGATGATAAGTTCCAAAGGGACAATAAATTCTATTGGATACTTGCTCAGGATAATCATAGATGTATGAACATTTTATGCAGTCACTATGTAGATGGTTCCTAATTTTTGAAAAGGCTCTAGGTTTTATTTATTATTTTTAATTAATACATTTTTTAGAGAAGTTTTAAGTTCACAGCAAAATGGAGTGGGAAGTACACATCCCTCTTGTTCCCACACATGCACCACCCCCTCTACCCCACCATCCCACTGCCCCTGGTACATTTGTTACCACTGATAAACCTACACCAACATTACTACCACCCAAGATCACAGTTTAGAGCACAAAAGGCTCTACTTCTGAAAAGTCCCTTTACATGATGGTCCTTTAGAAACCTGAGGACACCTTTTCCTATAAGATTAGCCTCATATTTTCAGAAGGCAGAGACCTTCTGCCTGACCCATAGCCTTCCACACCACCCTAAGCCAGGGTAAATAAGATACTAATAATGAAACAGACAATAATACTTCCATCACTAAACTATCCCAAGTAGACTTTTTTTAATCCCTAGAAAATTAAAGGCCAGTATAAGATTCAGTAGTGGATTATGTCTGAAGAAGCAAATAGTAAATTTTGATTTGAGGAATATCTTTGAAAATTATTTCTAATAGCATGAAAATTACATTTTTCTTTTCCCTTTTTTACTATATTTTTAAGAGTACTTAAAAATAACTTTTCCAAGGGCTGAAGTTATAGCTCAGTGGTAGAGTGCTTGCCTCACATGTATGAGGCACTGGGTTCCATCCTCAGCACCACATAAAAATAAATGAATAAAATAAAAGTATTGTGTCCATCTACAACTAAAAAAAAATTTTTTTTAAATAATAAAATAACTTTCCCAAAATCCTTACCATTTTTTCTCGGTGTATTATGCTTACATATTTTGGTTTCATCTAATATTTGTTCTCCATATTCAGTGATGATCTGAAATTTAAAGTTGAGAATTTAAAGATCTGAAAGATACTTTTCTTTAGACACTGCCATTGTGTCATTTCTTTTTCRACTTTTTCTTTTTTGGTACTGGGGAACTGAACTCAGCTACATTCTCAGTCCTTCTTAAATTTTATTTTGAGACAGAATTTCACTAAGTTGCAGAGTATGGCCTCAAACTTAAGAGCCTCCTGCCTTCACCTCCTGAGTAGCTAGGATTACAGGTGTGTGCCACTGTGCCCAACCTGTTATTGTTATTTAATCATTAACATGCTTTAGCACAAGAATATTTAAAAGTAAAAAAAAAATGCCATTTATGAGTACATATAACAGTGGTTGAGTGCACAGATCAGTGGTAGAGCATGTGCTTAGCATACCCAAAGTCCTAGATTTGATTCCCCAGTACCAAAAAATATAAAATTAAAATTTAAAAAATTAAAGTACATATAATTAAGATAGACAAATACAGATAATTACACGTGTCTAGAAAAAGATCTGGAAGGATATGTAAACTATAACTGTGACTATTCTTTGGGAATAGCATTCTGGAAGGGAGAAGAAGAGGGAAAGAAAATCTTATATTTTTAATATACTTTTGAATTAATTGAATTTTTACAGGCAAGTAATTGTTTAAAAGATAACAAAACCATTTTACCATCCACTTGAAAACTGTTCAGTCAAGCAAACCATATCCTACCTCAGGGGGTAAGCACTTCTGAACCAGCCGAGCTAAACTGCCTCTGGAGAGCAGAGTGGTAGCTGATGGGCGCTGTGAGGGATTCCTTTTAAACATCTGCTTGACAAGGTATTGAAGCTCATAGGAATAATGAGATGGCAGTGGGYGGACGGACCCTTGACATATTTTGAGGATAAGACTTTTCCAACTGTTTGCCTGAAACTGAAAAGTAAAAACTGAACTTTAAAAGTAGATACAGGGAAGAAAATGGAAACTACCAGATGATTTGAATTCATATGCACATGAATTATTTTAGTTTGATAAATGGACCTGCTGTCTGGTCATTTTTTCTGTCTAGAGGTAGCCTTAAGATACAATTCTACAATATGATGATGGTTTAGAAGAATGGTAAACATGAAAAGGAAAAAAATTTCCCCACCTAGAGAAAGGTTTTCCTTGGGGGGCTGGGGTTGTGGCTCAGTGGTAGAGTGCTTGCCTAGCATGCACGAGGCACTGGGTTTGATCCTCAGCACCACATAAGTGTAAAATAACCAACAAAAACTAAGAAATAAATATTTAAAAAAAAAACAAAGAAAGGTTTTCCATCAGTGTCTGTTTTGGGTACTTTATTATAATAATCTGTAAGTTCTTGCACATACACATTTGTACTATATATGAAAATCAAAGCGATATAGACATATGTCTTTTTAAAAGTTAAATGCTACTAATGGACTTGATAATAAGAATAATATTACTTGCCCTATCCCTTCCCAGAAATCCCCTGGCTCACTTCATAGTGATAAGCACTTCAAACGTGTCCAGGTTTGTCTTTTTCCACTGCAAAATCCTTTTTACCATTCAAGTCATTAAAGCAGCTATCAGAGTTTGACAAGTCACAGAGTGGAATAGGAAATGACATACTAGAATAACATTTGAAAAGTTTTCAGGGATTGGGGGTGGTACAGTGCTCAACGAGCACGCCCAAGGTCCCGGGTTCCATCCCCGGCACCAAAAAAAGGTTTTCAATGTACATTATAATAAATATATTAGAGCTAACATTAGATATCAACTTTTGTAGCTTATGTAAAAACATTCTCCATTCTGCCTTGAAAGTGTTTTACAATAATAATAATAATAATAATAATAAAAACAAGTAAAGATGTGATAAAAGGTCTAAGAGTGTAGTTTAGTAGAGCGGTTGCCTAGCATGTGTGAGGCCTTGGGTTCAATCCCAGCACTGCAAAAAATAAACAAAAAACAAACACTAGTGCCCAAGAAATGTGCAGAGATTTTAATTCAATTAACCTGGACAGGGCACCAGCATTGTTATGGGTTCTTCAAGTTGTTCTCACTGTGCAGCCATCTTTGGAAATCATTTGTACTTAAGAAAGGTGGCCTCTGGGTAACAGTGCATGTCTTCAGTTTGATTTACTCTCATCTGGAGGTGCCGATGGGTTGTTTTCAGCCACTCACTCTCCCGAGCTCTATGTGCTCTCCAGTACATCTATAAAAAGTTTCAATCTGTGCCCCAAGACCAATTTGTTTCTGTTAAGACCTAATAGGGATCAACTCCATGCCTACTGTTGTATGTGATAAAATACTGCTGAACAAGTTATTTAATTTGTTATTAACTTCTYTTGTTGTTACATCACTACTTAAAATATTAGAAAACATACATATTAGGGCAAAGTCTATTCCCATTTTTTAGGAAGTGCTATGATAGGAGAAACCTAACTACAAAAAGATGAGTATTAAAATGGTACAGTAACTCTGGAAACAGCTTGGGGGTTCCTCAAAAAGCTAAACTTACAACAATCATATGACCTGCAATTCCACTTTTCAGTATATACCTCAAAAAATAGAATCTGGAATTTTGAATTCTAACAGACAACTGTTTACCCATTTCATTTCAGAGTTATTCACAATAGCCAAAAGGTATAAACAACCCATATGTCCATCAACAGAAGAGGAAAAAAACAGAAAAAAACAAAACATATACACATAATGGAATATTATTCAACCATAAAAAGGAGTGGAATTCTCACACATGCTACAACATGGAAGCTCCTTGAGAACATTATGCCAAGGGAAATAAAGCAGACACAAAAGGACAGATACTGTATAATTCCACTTACAGGAACTATCTAGAACAGGCACCTTCATAGAGACAGAAAGTAGAAGTTAATAAGAGCTGAGGGAGAAATGAGAGTTTGATTTAAAATGTACAGAGTTTCAGTTTTGCAAACAGTGATAACTGTACTATATTGTGAATATAATTAATGACACTGAATTGTAGGCTTAAAATGGTTAGAACTACAAATTTTATATAAGTTAAAAAAATAATAAAAAGAAGGAAAGAAGCTGGGCACCCTATTATGTGCTTCTAACCCCAGTGACTCAGGAMAGAGAGTCAGGAAGATCACAAATTTGATGTCAGTCTCAGCAACTTAAGACCCTGTCTCAAAAAAAAAAAAAAGAAAAGAAAAGTGGGGGGTGGGGGGGTGCTACGGATGTAGCTCAGTGGTAAATGGTAAAGCATAAGCATCCCTGGGTTCCTCTTCCTCCTCAGTGGTAAAATGTCCCTTTGGGGATGGGGAAGAGAAGAAGAAGAGGAGGGGAAGGGGGATGGGAGGGAGGAGGAAAAAAGAAAAACTATATATAGAACTATAGAAAATAAACATTGACATTTTATTAGAATATAGTATAAAGGGACTCAAGGCAAAGATAATAACAAAGGCAACATGAAACTTTCCATAATGAATTCACCCTAGGGAAGCAAACTGTCTGCTGGAACTGGGCACATTACTTAGGACTTGGCTAGATACGACAGCAAGTGGCCATTTGTTTTGTACAGCATACTTACTGGATGCTTAAGGGTACAGAGTTCATACARAATGCATCCCAAGGACCAGATGTCACTGGAAGCATAAAGAAACAACATAACAAGTGGGTTATGATATATATGAAAATATATACATTTTCTAATAACAAAAAATGAAAAATTCTCCTACTTTTAATAAGACTAAATATCACAAGTAATTCTTAGGTATTAAAACGATTAAGTATTTTGTTCCACTGCTTAGAAACTTTCTAAGAGTAACGCTCACAATAAAGCTCTCTGTTCCTCAAACCCATGCCTCTAAGTCAAAGTGATATGATACCACTGCAGCAGCATTTGGGAATTCAGGAGCAAGAGAGAATATCTGTGGACTCCAATTATCACATTTAGAAGGACCCTGAAGATATCTAGGGCAGCTTCCAGGAGACCACCCTGTGAGCAGCACCAGCCCACGAGGGCTTCTCCTGACAGGCAGCTCTCTTCCTCAGCACAGTGGGACAGCGCTAAAGGATCAAGTTCTTATTTATCAAAACCTGAAAATGTGTCTGCCGGGAACTCTCTCCACCCACAGACTTAACTGTGTTCCAAAATGAAGAGGAAAAGACTACTCATTCTCCCACAAAGTGGCTTGTCAGAATCGGAGGAGCCCTACAGTTAGCCCTTATACTGCTTCCTCACTCTAAGCATCTCAAGCTTCCTCCATCTCTCCTGCCAGCTAAATCCCCAATACCTCTATAATACTCTTTATTTTAACTAATTCTCTATCTACAGTTTCTCTCAACATTTTTTGGTAAATTGCAAATCYACAGAAAAGTTGCAGATGCCCACCTGCTGTAACCTGGGGTCCCCGAACATGAACAGTTGTCATGTTTAGGTCCAGCATTTCTTTCCTCTATTTATCTCAATCTCTTGAAAAAAGGTTGTAGATATCAGATACTTAAATACCAGAACATGTCTAAACATGTCTGTATGTATCGTGAAGAGCAAGGACACACCTCTCATATACATGGTGTTGTTTTCATGTCCAAGCCATTTAAACTTAAGTTAATGATATTATCTAAAATTTAGCCCATACTCACATTTTCCCGATTGTCCCCAAAAAACCCCTTGAGAGCTGTTTTGTTCCCAATTCAGTAAACTTCTACTCATTTTTTTTTTCCCCCTGTGGTGCTGGGGATCAAACAGAGGCCTTACACCTGTTATGCAAAGGTTCTACTATTAAGCTGCTTTTTAGTTTTAAAAAACCAATATATTCCATGCATCTGCTTTCAAGTAGCACCAGACTCTGGCATCATTTGCAGGCTATAAAACCTGTGACCATATGGTCACCCTTCCCCCAAATAAGTACACCACTTACCTTTTATTGTTATAAGGCAGGTTTTCCCAAATTTCTGGAGGCACATAATAAGGTGTTCCCACATATGTACAAGCAAATGCCATGGGACTAAAACAATAAACAGGCAAAGAATGATTAAAGAACATTCCTGAAAATGGATGTTTTTATTATTGCTACTATAACACAAGAGAGACCTACTTGGAGAGAAGACGTGCAGATCCAAAATCACCCAATTTCACTTTTCCATTTTGGGTGAGGAAGACATTCTGCATTGAAAAAGAAGAACTTAGATTATGTCTCCCGTCATTCAAACATAGGGCAGAGTTCTTCAGAGAAGCTATCTTTCAAAGCCTATTGCTGATGGAGATTAAAGGTAGAAATGCTGACAGCTAAGTCTTCCTGAGTCCCCCAAGTGGACTAAAGTGGAATCCTTCTTGATAGCTTAAATATTCTAACCACAAAAAAAGCAAATGAGGTTATGGATATGTTAATAAACTTGGTTTAATCACGTCACAATGTTTACACATATCAAAACATCATGTTGCACACTATAAATACATATAATTTTATTTGTCAATTTTACCCTAATAAAGCTGGGGGAAATTTTAAATTAAAAAATTAAATATAAGTAAATAAATATTAGGCTGACAAATATTTCTAAACTAAATATGTCTTAAAAGAAAATGAATGATAGAAAAAAGATAATGAAATAGGGGTTTTTTTRTTTGTTTTCAAATCTAGAAATGGATTCTACTCACCTTGGACTTGATATCTCTGTGTAGYACACGTTTCTTGTGAATATGGTTTACTCCAAGGCACATTTGTGTAAACCAATTAAGTATCTGTAAGAAAAAAAKTATGCAACCTCTGCAAAAATGTAATAACTGGTTCATGTTAACCCMAAATTCCAAGAATCACCTCTAGGCCTTTCTTGACCAGAATTTTACATGTGAGTACAGAACTCATGAAAATTACTTGGGTCAACTACATTTCAGTATTACCTAGAGAAATTCAGAAAAGCTGAGATTCCCATCTTTCATCACCTTACATATGATCCAAATAGCTATTTTAATGAAACTTCTACCATATTTTTMTCTCATTTAATCAGATAAAAGTATTTCTTAAATGTATATCTAAATATATAGTTCATCATTAAGAAATGAATGTGTTGGTTGGGAGTATAGCTCAGTGGTACAACACTTGCCTAGAATGTGCAAGGTGCCAGCTCAATTCCCAATTCCACACACACACACACAAACAAACAAACAAACATATACACATGCACATACACACTATAGTTTTTCTAGTATAATCATTATTTATGTTGGATTTTCATTTGCTTTTTCAGGATATTAATATGATGACATTAAATAATTTCATTATGTTACAAACAATTCATTGAGATCAACATTTTCTGCTTATAAATCCCAGTCCCAGAATTTCCAAGTGCTTTGGAGGCCTATGATTAAATGTCAAACTAATTTTTATTTTCTTTTTGCTATAGAGATTCATCCACTCAAAGCCATGGTTGACCTCCTTTCATGGAACCCATGTTAATAGGAACCTATATTAATAATATAACTTTTAAATGAAGAATATTTATATACTTTCAATGGTTATAATCTAAATAAAACTAAGTCCCATTGAAGCTATTTACTTAAATATGTTCCTTAACCAATTCGTTACAAATTGGTTAGAACATAATAACCCAAAGTATATTGTCTTGGCATGATGAATGCTTTGAACCAAAGAAAGGGGTTCAGAAAACAAAATCTTTCTGGTCTTCTCCTGCCCTTATTTCTCTGGTTCCCCTTTTCCCTCCAAGACAGCCACAGAAACCAAAATTCCTCCTCCCCCAAACCAGCCATAAAACCTAGAAATATTATTCTAATCTTTTCCCATATGTAAAAGCTGCTCATAAAGAAATTCTCTGACCTACCTTGTCTGAAAGTAGATTAAACACCCTCATTCTAGAAGGGTTCCTGTCCTACACCTGGAAGGAAGGAATACCATAGCGAGAGGCCAAGAAAAACCAGACAGACAGGCCTAAAGGGAATAGACTATTATTTGATAGTTATRTAATAGAAATAGTCTATTACCATCAATTTAGTTATACCCTTTTGTCCAATCACATTTCTACATGGCTGTCCATGCTTCATTGAATCTAAGCATAAAAATGAAGAGTGTACTCTGGGTGTTTGGGTCTTCATTTTAGAAGGCTCCAGTTGAAAAACCAGCCTCTACCTCAGAGCAAAGCCTGTCCAAGGAAGGGACATGACCTTTGTCCTTGGAAAAACCCACAGAGCACTCCTAGGCACATTCCCACCCTGCTAAGTGGTTTATCTACAAATAACAGGAGAGATCTGCTGTGCCAGGTATCCCTGACCCAGTCAGGCTAGGTGGGGATCCATAGCAGCCCCCTAGCAGCCACCAATCAGCATGAGACAGGGAAATACCTGGGATGCCAGATGACCCTCCCAGTAGTTTATGGTGGTTGATAACGTGTTGGGAAACCATGTAGTTCAGCATGAACACCCCTCTTGGCTTAAAACAATCAGTTCAAATGAATACCCATTTTGTACTGACCAATCACCCTTACCCAACTTGTTCCAGCCAGGGAATGTGCTAATCATGTTTTAGAGTTGTTATTTGATTTTCCCGCAGTGTGTGATGATTTGCTAAGAGATGTTATGATGTATGTGGGGGTCCCTGCCTTCTCCAAAGAATGTATAAAACTGCTGCAAACCCAGGGCTCGGGGCCTCTCAGCATCACCAGTTGCTGTGTGTGCGCGGAGGACAGAGCTAGCTCGCAATAAACACCTCTTTGCTGTTTACATCGATATTGGGTCTCTGGTGGTCTTTTGGGGGTTCCGAATTCGAGCATAACACAGTGTTATATAAAACCTTGATTAAGTAAAAATTTGTTATACTTTTATCTTGTCTCTTGTTATGAAGGTGCCAGCCTTGACCCTCTTGTTGGTTGAGGAAAGGGATCACATCCTTCCATCCCTACATAAGCAACTTTCCATTAAAAAAGCAGCAGGTTGTAGACTTAAGGGAATATGTTGAGCATTAGGAGGAAAAGGACTGAGAATAGAATCTCCCAAGAAACAGAAATGGTAGACTTCATTCTTCTAATGATCTAGTAATATGAGATAAATCTATTATGCCTTCTAAAATTTCAGAACAATAAAGATCAAGATTTGTAAGTATCAAGTACAAAGAACAATAGGTAATGCAATTCTGAAATTTCTCCTAAATATATGAAATTTTTATCCATACTTAGTATTTTGTAACCCATATTGATTTTACTTCTTAAAAACATTTCAGGCGGCCACATCCTGAGGACACTAAACAATAACACTGATAGAGAAATAAGTTATTTCTAACTAATGCAGGGCAGGCAGGTAATCGCAGATATCAATACTTTCATTTTAATTCATGAGAAAAGTTGCTTCCAAACTATGAGGGTAACTATGTAAGTCAATCTCTTACCATGTCTTCAGGAAATAACTTTCCTCTCTGCTGTTTAATCTTCTGCATTAGATCTCCTCCATCACAATATTCCATCACAATATGCAGATGTCCTTCAGCTAAAACAAATATAAGACTCTTTAGGAAAGCCATAGTGGCTACAGATCAAATTTAGAAATGAACATATTTAGAGGAATTCATACTTACCCTCAAAGGATTCTTTAAAGGCGACAATATTGGGGTGTTTCATTTTGGCTAAGAGAACAGCCTCTTTCCTAGAATTCTGTGTATCAGAGAGAGACTGGGAAAATATTTTAAATAAGCATAAATTTAATACTAAATTTTAAAATAGCTTTACACTAACATTTAGCATAGTTTGCATGATACTCCAAAGCTACGTGCAATTTTGTAAAACTGCACTTTTACTCAAATTTATTGAACTCCAAAGAAAATATGTGGTGATTTGCTACTGGCTATTTTGCATGCTTGAGCTGACCCTTCACTGTATAATGTTCTTTTTTTTTTTTCATTTTATTCCTTACACATATAGAATGTTACTAGTTTTAATATCTGTCTAAGCATCACCTGACTTGGAGAGTCAGTCAAATAGCGTAACTTTAAAAAGAAAACTGGAGAGCTTACATTTTGACTGTCAGCATCTCTTTATCAGTCCCCTGGCCCATAAAAAAGAATGTTCTGATGGACTACTGAAACAGAATGAATTCCGGGGTGGGTGGGGGCCTTCTGAAATTAAAAACAATTTCTTCATGCTGAAATTGGGAAGCTGAAGGGTTGTAATCTCCCACCCTACTGAGCAGCAAGCAAGCAGAGGCTAACTAAATCTGCATATTTATATTTCCTGCCTTCTGTCCCATTTTACACGCCCTCACTAGCCAATTAAATCAAAGTAAGTTTACCACCTGGTTTTTGTTTCTCTCAATTGGAACTTCTTCAGGGAGGCCCTTAGGAGAAGCAAAATAGCTGTTTCTCCAACAGTTTCATCAAACTGCATAAAGTCCACTTTTCCTTTTTCCATCCTTTGCCTTTCTTAGGTGGGACGGCGGCTGAATCTAGCCAGCAGGGAACCAAGCAGGATGGACAAAGCTGACATACAAAATAGGTTTCCAAGACTATTTATCACTAACTATGCTATGAAATTGTGAATAATTTATAATCAAGTAACTGCCAAAGAGGCTAGGAATGTAGCTCAGTGGGAAAGAACTTGCCTATCAAGTGTGAAGCCCTGGGTTCCATTCCTCGTACCACAAAAAAAGGGGGTAAAAAGGAAATTACTATTCAGGGTTTCTTAGCACCGTGGGTTCTCAGACCAGCAGCATAAGCACCAACTGGAGACATGTTAAAAATGCAAATTCACAGGCCCACTCAGGTCCACTGAACCAGAAACTTGGTGGTGGAGCACAGTAATCTGTTTTATTAAACCCTCCAGATGATTATGATCCCCATCCAAATTAACAATCCAAAATACCATGGAAAGTTCTTCTAACGTTTGAAGAACTTTGTTAAAATGTTTTTTTATTTTGTAGTGCTGGGCATTATTGAACCCTGGGCCTTGAGCTTGCTTGGCAAGTGTTCTATTGCTCAGTTACAGCCCCAAACCTTAAAATATATCTTTTAAAAAATTGATCAAAATATTATTAAGAATCCTTTATAGCATGGATTACTTCTCAGGACAACTATGACACATGGTAATAAACCATCTACAGAAAAACAAGACCTAAAAACTGATGCACAGAATAGGTTCCGTGATAATGGAAGGTTTGCATTTTAAGTCTTTGTTCTTTATTGTATTTTTTTAATGTCCTTTTTCATTAGTATTGCACATGAGTTGCTTTGGGCAAAGATTTCCTACACTGCTAGGTATGTGAAATTGGAAATTATTACCAACTAATTTATTGAGATAAAATAAATGGTACACATTGACTATTTCTCTCCCTTTTTAATTATACTAGCCTCCTAAGAACCACATAAAATATATCAAGCCCTTTAAAGCTAATGAATAAACTGATTATATATTTTGTAGGAAGGAGAAATCCCATGTTAAATTTTAATAGCTTATTCTCTTATATAAATTGCATGTTCACTTTCAACGTGAGCTATTTTCTTTAGCAGTAACCTTAGGAAGCCTTATTTCCTTAATGGCAAACAACTGATTGCTGCTTTTCTGCTGAACCAAAAGAGCTCTGCCAAAGGAGCCCTCCCCGATCACTTTCAGGACAGTGTAGTCATCCATGCTGGGCATCACAGCTGGGCTCCACTCATGCGGTCACCATGGACTCTCCCAAACTGTATTCAAAAACAGAAACATTTGAGAATTTACTGAATTCATTCAAAGTTGTTCTAATTACTGTGATAAGCCAACAGCAACATCTTCCTTTTGAAGGGTATCAAGCATGGGACCCCAAAATATTCTATTTTGGCATAAAAATTGTTTTGAACTGAAAACAATTTGCTCTTTTCCCTTCCTGCTTTTGTCTAAATATAAATCGTATATTTCCCTATGTAAAAGCAACAAATTTCCATTTGTAAATGTATACATAAATATATGTATACATAATAAAATATATGTAAAATATACTAAGTCCTTATAAAGCTGATGTATAAACTGATTAACTATTTTGCAGGAAGAAGAATTTCCATGTTAAATCTCAATAGCTTATTCTCTTATGTAAATTACATGTTCACTTTCAGTGTGACTTTCTTTCATCAGCAGTAACCTTAGGAAGCCTTATTTTATTAATGGCAAACATCTTAATGGCAAAATACATATACATTTTTTTTGAACAGTACTGGGAATTGAACCCAGAGGCACTATACCACTAAGCTACATTCCCAGTCCTTTTTTTATTTTAAGACAGGGTCTCACCAAGTTGCTGAGAGTCTTGCTAAATTGCCCAGGCTGGATTCTAACTTGTGATCTTCCTGCCTCAGCCTCCTGAGAAATTGCCAATTTGATTCTGCATAACATACCTTACTAAATAAGCCTTATCTTCCATTAGCTTCCCCATAAATTTACCCAAGATCCCCTCTTCCTTTGTCTGGTTACTTCTCCATAATTTATAGATCTTTGTTAATGGTAAATGAGGTCCTAGGTCTAACATTTTACATTTTACATTTATGCATATGTACCAAACCTTTTCCCTTCTTGATCTTTTGTCAGTTTAATTTTAAGGACCCCTAAGAAGAAAGAGAAAAAAAAAAGTTTTTTCCTACCCTACACTATTCATTCAACAGATCTTCTCTGAGTGAAGAGTTACAATCCTCCATTAGTCCTCAGCAAATATCTCTTGGTCTCTGCCATCATACATACCCTATACAAAGGTGACCACAAACTTCAGCAAATGCAGAGGGGTGAATCTTACAGAAAGAGCTAGCTGGCCTGCAGTAGAAATATCCAGGGAGTTAGGAATCCTAAGTTTATTTAAGCAGAAGCCTGAAAGATGAYTGGAAGTGGGCTAAGCAAAGAGGAGAGAAAGAGTGATCAAGGCAGGGGAAATGGAATATTTAAGGGTAAAAGAGATTGTGTTCAGTTCAAGGAGTTGAAAGGAGAGTTAGACGGACGAGGTAGACAGGGATTTATTGGAAGACTACTGTAAGCCATAATTCAGGTTATTGGACTTTATCCTCAGGGTCATTAATGAGCTGTCTCTGAAGAGCCTGAACCAAGAGAACAATATAACCATCATATCTGCATATTAGAAAAATCACTTTAAAGCTGCTTAGTGACTGGACCAGAGGGTGGAGGCACTGGAGGTCCAGATCAGAGATGCAGACCAGTTAAAAAGCGCTACAATAGAAAAGACTGCCGCAGTCTGGCTGGGCACAAAATAACGGAGCCAGCACGTGGCACTTGTGAGTTCAAAATAGGAACTCCTTTATTATCTGAACTCCCGAGAACGCCACCCACAGGGCCCTTCCAGGAACACCACACACCGGAAATCCCTCCTCTGGCACATCCCCAACCAATTCSAACTCTCCAGGAGTCCCCAGGAGAACTCCAAAGTAGCAGGCCCAGGCGGAAAGCAGGGATCTAATATACAATTGAATACACAGCTTAACATAACCATCATCATCTCAATGGCTCGCTGGCCTCACCTCTCAACCACTCCCTTCTGGCACAAATGCCATGTGTCATTGTCATTCGGACTCTGTGGCTCTCAGCAAAAGGCAGGTAAATGATAATGAAATGCAGCAGGGTGGTGGAAAGGGAACAATAGAAGAAAAAGAGTAATTGATGCACTCTTTGGTGAAGGATTATGGGGGGACAAATAGGGAGATGGTGAGATAGGAATTTGGGGCACAGAGACCACTGGGGCTCAAAAGGGAAACACCCATGAATTGTTGGAAGGCAAAACAAACAACCTGAAAAAGCCTAGCCTGCATCCTGCCTGCAGCCCATTGACTGGTTAACCACAAGGTTTCTGGTGGAACTAAGCAGCAGAATTAAAACATGTAAGGGCACTGTGCAAGCATGAGGAAAACAGTGGGGAATTCTGTTACCCAGCGGATTCCACCTCCAGCTCAGCCCTTTAGTTACTCTGTAAGTATTAGAACCCCAAACTAAAGATAGGACTTGAGATCTACCTGCACCTCTTCCTTGAGTGTGTGCTCTTTGCTTCCTCATAAAAGTTCTCCCTTCTCATTCTACAATCTGACTCGTCCTTAAATTCTTTTCTGCAGTGAAGTTTTGGACAGGGAAGCAGAAAACTCCTAAGAGCCCCATAGTGACAGAAGCAAGGTTGGCTCCCAGATTTCTGTATGAATGGTGCTACCATTCCTAGAGAAAGTTAAGGCACTAAGGTTGTGTGTGTGGTTTTTTGTTTGTTTGATTTCTCTGGGGGTGCGAATGTGGCAGGAGTGGGGCAAAACATGGGAGTTCCATTTGGTATGTTTAGCTGGAAGGTGTCTAGGACTCAAAAGAGATGTTAAACATACAGTTTAATGTTTCCTTCTAGAAGCAGCTTGGATTTCTAATATACTTTGYGGGTTCATAGACAGTCCTGACTAAATGGCAATTATTATTATTATTATTAAAACCTTGGGGAGGGCCACGGATGTAGCTTTGTCTAGGATGTAGAGCTTTTGTCTAGCATGTTAGAAGACCTGGGTTTGGACCCAAGCAACATGGATGGGGTAGTGAGCTGGTGACCTTAGGGAGGGAATACACTTAAGAAGATGATGTGCTTCCCCCCCACCCACTATAGAAGACACTGGAATAAATTTACTTGATTCTTTTCAAAAACCAAACTTGCTGACTTGTTAATATTTTCTAAATCACACCACAGCTGAGTAGTAGCACACAAGGTGACTCATGCCTATAATTCTAGACACTTGGGGGACTGAGGTAGGAGGATTGTGAGTTCAAGGCCAGCCTTGTCAACTTAGCAAGATCCTGTCTGAAAATAAAAAATAAAAAGGGATGAGAACTTAGTTCAGTTGTACAGCACCCCTGGGCTCAATCCTCAAGTAGCAAAAAATAAAAAAGAGGAAGAAAGAAAAATAGCACAACAAAAAAATTCTAAGGAACAAAGAGCATGAAAAGGTAAAACAAAAACCACAAATCAAAACCTGTAACATACTGACATGTAAACCTTTCAGTTTGTATTCCTGTTTTACCATACAGGAAACCCCTGAAATAACTTCTCCATATAATCAAATTAGATSCCTTGTCTTAAAAAACAATTCTTAACAAGAAGAGGTWWKT